CCACCCCCACCCCAGGGCAGGGGCAGCCTCCCTCTGTGTCATTCAGGTTTCTCAAATGCCACCTCAGAGATAACAACTCCCTGACCACCCCCCCATTCCCAGTTTCTCACCCCTTTCTCATTTTCCTCATAGCCCTGACAGTATTAGAACCCTATTTTCCATCTCTAATTCTTTCTTTGTGGAATTCAAGTTTCTTGAAGATAGACTTGTGGTGCAAAGTGTGTGCTCTCTAAACATTTGCTTGCTGACTAAAAGCATGGTACATCCCAGTTGTCTCATATCCTGTGGTTTTCTAGAAAACCCACCAGAATAAAAATTGTAGAAAGCAAAGAGCCTTTATAGGAACACAAAGCACTGACTGACTTAGGAAGGCAGATGGAGCACTGCTCTCTACTGTGGTTAAACTGAAGGGTGTCACTTCCTCCTCTCTGTGTTCTTTCTTCACTGTTCCCAAAGGCACACCACACGGGGGAAGAGTAGGAACTTAGCTTTGGAGCCTTCTGTGACGCCGTCATAGTCGTTCTGATTTTAGCATACGACTGAGGTTAAAAGTTGTATTTTGATTGAAATATTAGACGTAACCAGGGATTCTAGAGTCTGAAGATTCACTCGGGATTTTCAGTACTTCTTTCATGTTTCATTTCTGTTTGTATGTCTTCTTTATTTGGGGAGGTATACAACCAGGGCAGTGTCTTTCCTTCTAGAGAACTCTAGAAGACAGGAAGGAACAGATGTGGAGAGGTGCACATGTCTGGTATTTGGAGACAAAGTCACTTAGAATTAGAAGTCAAGTTTCTGAGTAGGATACTGTGGAGGTTTGGAAGTTCCTGGGGCTCTCACCATTGTGGTGTAGTATTATGTGAGCTTTACTTCGTGGTTAGTGTTTGGGTTTTGTTTTAGTTATGTTGAGTTGGAAGCTGAGTTCCAGTAAATAACTAGATTGGTCGGGTGACCAAGGAAAGAAGGTGTTACCTGTTTTGATTGGCAGGGGTATACAAATGGGGGAAAGAGACTGAGCTGCTTTACACTCTGTTCTTGATATAATTCATAGCTAGAAGATCAAGGAAGGAGAAGGATGGTGCTATTGCAAAGGACCATTCTCTAGACATCTGACTCATGGGACCAATAGCGATGGAAACAATGAATATGGCATTGCTAATATATTGCAGTGGTTCTATAATGGGTAACATCTCTCTTTTTTTTTTCCTTCTATATTCTAGTTAAGAAAAGTGACCATGGAGAACAATGAAACCTCAGTAGATTCCAAATCCATTAAAAATTTTGAAGTGTGAGTATTTATTTATTTTTATTTGTTGTAGTTTAAGGCAGACTCTCCACATACCCTAGGCTAACCTGGACCTGTATAATCCAGGCTAGCTTTAAACTTGTGATGGCTCTCTGACCTTTGTTTTCTATTGCTAGCATAGCAAGCCATAGTCACTGTGCCTGGTGATAATGGTATAAGTGGAATTCTATATATATAGTCAAAGGAAGACATGTTTGTGGAATGCATCCCATTTGAGAAATAGAGAAGCAGAGGGAAAGGGGATTTCAAACTAGAGAGCAAACTGCCTCCCACCTCCAGCAGCTGTGCAGCTCTGGGTAAACTCATTCCTCTGATCTCATCTTAACTAAGATGACAGGGAAAGACTGGAGGGAAGGAGATTGCTCAGGTACTATGCTAAGTGCTCTTGAATTCCTGGCTTTGGGATTCTCCACTCTTTCTGAAGGTACGTCATATCCTTTCTTGGTCTACTTGTCACATGCTGGCAGATAACGGGGTGAACAGAAAGTAGTGAAGAATCAGCATTAGGTAATGGGAATTATAGTTCTGTGGTCGATTATAAGATTTGCATCCCTTATCCAAAATGACTAAAACCAGAAGTATTTTAGATTTCGGACTCTCAGGTTGGAACATATGCACACACACACACACACACACACACACACACACACATACACACACACACACACAATGCATTAGAGATGGGACCTAAGTGTGTGTGTGTGTATGTGTGTGTGTGTGTGTGTGTGTGTGTGTGTGTACAGGTGTGAGTAGACTACAGTGCACATGGAGGTCAGAGGCCAACTTTTCCTTGTTTCTGCTGCCAAGTGTCCTAGGCTAGCAGTCAGGCTTCCACCTATTCTCCTGTCTCCACCTCCCATCTTGCCTCAGGAATGCTATGAACACACACATGTGTGCCACCACTTAGAGCAACCTTCCTAACACTGTGACCCATTAATACAGGAACTCCTCATGTTGTAGTGACCCCCAACCATAAGGTTATTTTTATTGCTGCTTCATAACTGTAATTTTGCTACTATTATGAATCATAATATAAATAGCTGATAAGCAGGATATCTGATATGCAACCCCTGTGAAAGGTTCATTCAACACCCACCTCCCAAAAGAGTTTTGACCCACAGGTTGAGAATCACTGACTTAAAGCTTTTTAATGTAGTTTCCAGTGATTGAACTCAGGCTGTTAGGATTGCATAGAAAGCGCTATTACCTACCGAGTATACCCTGGCCTATAAATTTTAAACACTGTGAATTCACTTTTGTTTCATAAAAACTTTATACATGTATCCCAAAGCTAATTTTATAAAATATTTTTAGTGGACCTATGTTTTGAAAGTGACCTGTCTCATGGGGCTTGGTGTGACTTTTTCCACTTGTGGCATTATATTGATATAAATTTTGGAGCATTTCTGATTCTAGATTTTCGAACAGGAATGCACAGCCTGACTATATGACCTAATTAACTCTGTAAAATGTGGGGCCTTACCTCCAGCTATATATCATGGTTCTTTTTTGTCTGACTTTGATCCCCTTCATTTACTACTTTTAATCTTTCTACATTATTTTTAGAATTATATAAAATATAAGATGCTATTAAGGCTGAGTATGCATCCTTAACTTTTTTGCTTGGCTGTTCTTAGACTCGGCCTCAAAAATAAAATCTTAGGAAAAAAAAAGGCCGTACTTGCTGGTGGTGGTGACATACGCTTTTAATCCCAGTACTCAAGAGGCAGGGGCAGGCAGATCTCTGAATTTGAGACTAACCTGGTCTATAAAGTGAGTCCTGGGACAGCCAGGGTTACACAGAGAAACCTTTTCTCGAAAAACAAACAAACAAAGAAACAAACAAACAAAAAAAGGTACTTTTATCATGGATAAATTAATTCATACATTGTTAATTTTTTTAAAGATGTATTTCGTAAAATGCTATTGGACTTTACAGGAAAACCTTCCAATAAGTGCTGAACACACTTCAGCACATTTTACTTCCTTGGCCTTGGCAGGTCATTTCCTCATCTTTGAAATGGGTTGTGGTTGTTGTGGATGTATTTATTTATGCTTTTTTTCCCTCTAGCACTTGGGATCAAACCCACATGTGAAATTTGAATGAGGGAAGGATTTAACACGAAGTTGGGTACATTGATAGTCTCAAACAAATGTTAACCATTCTTATGAGTAATAAAAGTTGTATTAATGGAGTCCTTTCTGCCTTTGGTAACTAACCGTCACTTGATTTCCATGCAGAAAGACCATACATGGAAGCAAATCAATGGACTCTGGAATGTATCTGGACAATAGTTACAAAATGGATTATCCTGAAATGGGTGTGTGTATAATAATTAATAATAAGAACTTTCATAAAAGCACTGGTATGTATCTAACATAATTTTTAAAACATTTCAAATATTTATGCCATTTACATTGGATACAATGTGAAAAGCAATTATCAGTGTGTTATGAGTCAGTAAACTGATATAGACAAACCACAGAGTAGAGCTACACTGGAACTTACAGGTCCCATATACAATAGGAACTCTTTTTCCATATTCAGAATCTTTGCCTCTCCTGACTTTGAAGGGTTGGATTCTCTGCTGCCCAACAGAGCCAATCTCTTGAGAGGCTGAGTGATGGGAGAAGAAAAGGTTGCATAAGCAACAAGCTGGCAGGGAGAAGATAAGTGACTGGCACCTGAGGTCTGCTGCCCTGGGGCAGCTGAGAAAGTGTCTCTAGCCCTTAACTCACAGCCTCAGGCAGGTGGGCCCTACAGTCATTCCTTAGTCAGTATCAGAATACAAATCAGGGCCTCAGCCGGGTGTTGATGGCACACGCCTTTAATCTCAGCACTCGGGAGGCAGAGGCAGGCGGATCTCTGTGAGTCCGAGGCCAGCCTGGTCTCCAGAGCGAGTGCCAGGATAGGCTCCAAAGCTACACGGAGAAACCCTGTCTCGAAAAGCCAAAAAAACAAAACAAAACAAATTAGGGCCTCTTATCTCAGACTTGAGGTTGCTGGATTATCCCTGCCCTGTGCCAGGTTTCTCATTTACAGGTCTGTGTGCCTGCCTTCAGGCACATTCTGCTTCTGTGTTTACAACCGTTATTTAATTGAGGCCTTTCCCCTGACCTGAGAATGAGTGCACAGTAAAAGGAATGGTGTTTTATACTAACTCACAAGTAGTCATTAAGTTATAACTCAGGGGTTGTGCCACAGATCCTCCACACTCCAATGGAAGGCTGCACGTAGGAAGATGACACAAAGTTGGGTGGGACGGGAAGGGTCATGGGCTTAGAAGGAGTTGGAGACCCAGGGATGAATATGACTAAAGTCCATTGTATGAAATTCTCAAAGAACTAATTGGAAAAAAAAATGAGGAAAAAATAAAATTAAAGAAGAAAAGGAGAGGGAAAAGACCAGAAAATGGGGTCAGTAGAGTGATTCTATTCCCAGTACCACATAGCCCTGTATTATGGTACATTCCTGTAATCCTGTCACTGTCACTTGGAAGAAGGAAGTAGAAAGATGCCAGCCTGGGCTAATGGGACTTTGTCGCTGAACAAACAAAAACCAACAAAACCAAACCTTGCCACAACATCTTTACTTACAGCAGTTAGAGCCCAGTGCATGTGGCTGAGCTGTACTGATGATCTGTAGTCCTCATTGGTACCTCCTTGATGATCTGTAGTCCTCATTGGTACCTCCATGATGATCTGTAGTCTTCACTGGTACCTCTTTGATGATCTGTAGTCCTCATTGGTACCTCCGTGATGATCTGTAGTCCTCTTTGGTACCTCCTTGATGCCAATAAGACGTTCTCCTCCCCTTCTTCCCTCAGTCCTCTCCTTGCACCATGTGGGTACCAGGGATTAAATTTAAGTTATCAGGCCTGGCAGCAAATGTCACGAGCTGGCTCAAAGGTCCTCAACTTTATCACTCTGAACCAATTTGTTTCCTTCCTTTTAAAGCCAAGCATCTCTCATGCTAAGCATGCTGTGTACCAAGGGCAGGTTTCTTAGCTCATTTGTGCTCTGCATCCATCATGTGTACAAATGAAGCTAGTGATATGCATCTTGTGGGTACAGTAATGTCACCCACATAGCAGAAAACCTGATTAGCAATATTAATCTGATAATATTTGTGGATTTTTCCCCAAAAACATGTGCAAGTAGTACTGTCTTAAAATTGATTCAACATAGAATCAAATTTAGTGTCTGTGAGTAAGCTATATAAACAAAACTAAGATCACATACTTTTTTCTGTCTAAAATTATTTACTGGATATTATCATGTCAGAAAAAATGAATTTTTTTTTTTAAAAATCAGTGATTATTTCCCCATGGTCTTAGAAAATATTCATACTGAACTGAGCATGGTGGCCTATGCCTGTAATCCCAGCACTCAGGGATTATTGTGAGTTCAAGACTAGGTTGGGCTACAATGTGAGACTTTGCCAATGAATGAATGAATGAGATGATGACATAGTACCCCACCATATAAAACAAATCACAATTTATCAAACAAACCTCTATTATCAGGCACCTAAAGTCCCCTCTTATTTTCACTGTTGAAGCTGTTGTGGAGGATGTCCCCGCTACGACAGCTTACAGCAGCTAATACAATGAAGTATCTTGTGTGCTAACAGATTACAGACTCTGTTGCCATAATCAAAATAATTCGAGTTTTCTTAACATGTAGAAGGAAGAGTTCATTGGTTGTGTGAAATGCTGAATAGCTCATTTAATCTCAAAGGAGTTATTCTTTTAAATGACTCCTATTAAGAGTTATTAATTAATTAATTAAGAGAAGTTCTTTCTGTCCCAAGGAATGACACCTCGCTCTGGTACTGATGTTGATGCAGCCAACCTCAGGGAGACATTCATGCGCTTGAAATATGAAGTCCGGAATAAGAATGATCTTACTTGTGGAGAAATTGTGGAATTGATGAAAAATGGTAAATAATTAAAGAAGCATCCCAAAACCGGGCAAAGGACAGAGATGAAGTGTCTGCAGAACTCAGCCAGAATTGGCATATCCATACCCCTACACACATACAAGGCTCAGGGACCATTGCAGAAGGAGGGGCAGAAAGATTTTAAGAGCCAGAGGTGGGGGAAGACCAAATGGAAGGCATGACAAGAATACTACACAGCAGCAGTTGCTGTTGCCTGATCAAGATCAAGCCTGTCAGCATTCTAACATGAAAGGGAGGGGGACTAATGAGGGGGTTCCCACATCTAGGTTGGGGAGCTGTTGATAGTCGATGGCTGCTGGAGGAGGGAGAGTCCCATTTTATTTAATAGTGTAGTCCCTGATAGGTTGACCATGCTTCAGTGGTATATGGCCAGAACAATTTGGACCCTGTGTTATTAAAAAACAAAAAGCTGCGAAGTTGGGAGGAAGGATACAGGCGAAGTTGGGGGTGTATGTGTGGGGATAAATATTATCAGATTGCATAGATGGAATTCTCAAAGAATTAATGAAAATACTATGTTAAAAAAGAATGACCGTCATTGGGTAATTTTACCCAATTTATGATCTAGCTATAATTAGACCTTTATAATTAGAGGTATAAAACTATGCCATTGCCTCCCAAGTTCTGGGATTAAAGGCATGTGCCACCACACCTGGCTGCTTATATATTTTAGTAAAAGTTAAAAAGAAAATCATGTCATCCCCTAAAATGATTCCAAATGTGCTCTGCCTATGTTAGATTTGGGTGATCTTATAGTTCTGGTCTCAGTTTCTTCATCTTGTGGTCATGGTATAAATCAGTAACCCCAGAACTCAAGAAGCTAAGACAGGAAGGAAGACTGTGAATTCAAAGCCATCTTGGTCCAATTAGAAAACTAGATACAAATCAAACAACCACAGATTCTTTGTCATATTCTCATACAGTGTCCTAATGTTTTAAACGAAACTTGCAAAGTCCTTCTGTGTCTTTGTTTTGTTTTCAATTATTTGCAAATGCCTTTCCAGTTTCTAAAGAAGATCACAGCAGAAGAAGCAGTTTCATTTGTGTGATTCTAAGCCATGGTGAAGAAGGAGTAATTTTTGGAACAGATGGGCCTGTTGACCTGAAAAAACTAACTACTTACTTCAGAGGGGACTATTGCCGAAGTCTAACTGGAAAGCCCAAACTCTTCATCATTCAGGTAGTGCTCTGAGCAGCTTGGTGCCCGATTAAAAAGAGATTAACACATTTAACAGTCTTTACTTTTTGTTTTGGGGCAACGGAACTGTTATATTTGTATTTACTTAAACCACCACTTAGAATATGTGGAGTACATTTCAATGTTGCTCTTATATCAGAACAACTTACCAATTTTTACACTACTCTTACAGCTTTTACAAATTATGTGTGTTCATATAATATTATTTTAAAAGAAAAGTTTGTTTTCTAACACACAGGCCTGCCGTGGTACGGAACTGGACTGTGGCATTGAGACAGACAGTGGAACTGATGATGACATGGCATGCCAGAAGATACCAGTGGAAGCTGACTTCCTGTATGCTTATTCCACAGCACCTGGTAAGAATGTGTCAGAGGAATGTTCTATGTGAATTGGAGATAAATTGCATTACTTTAGAGCTGGAGGTAAAGACTAGGTTTTAAAGGCTATTGGGATTTTTATAAGCCCTTCACAAACATTTTTATATCCCTACAATAACTAAATGTTGTCTTAATTACTTTTCTATTGCCATGACAGAACAAGAGACTGAGGCAACTCATAAAAGAAAATGTCTAATTTGGTTATAGAAGGTTAGAGTCCATGACTATCATGGCAAGAAAGGGGAGGCAGGACATGGCAGTAGATAAACAGGTGTGGTGCTGGAGCAGTAGCTGAGAGCTTACATCTCTATCTATAAACACAGCACAAGGCAGAGAGAACTAGCTAGAATGACATGGATTTCTGAAACCTCAAAAGCCCACCTGATGCCTCCTCCATCAAGACAACACCTCCTAATCCTCCCCAAATAGTTCCATGTCTGGGGACCAAATATTCAAACATATGAGCTTATGGGGGCCATTCTCATTCAAACCAACACACACACACACTCAGTATTAAATTTGTGGGTGTGGACCTATGTGTGCGTGCGTGCGTGCGTGTGATTTTAGAGGAGAAAATTGACTCTCACAAATTATCTTCTGAGTTCCACATGCAATGTGGCACATGTACAAGTATACTCACAAAATAAGTAAGTAAATAAACCTATTAAAACAAATAGATGAAATACACTCAATCTTGTTTCTTTTAGCCACTAGGTATCTCTCTAGGCAGCATACTTCTAAAGTAAACACAATGAGTCCAATAGTTAATCTGAAATTACCAAAAATGCACTATTTCCTTCTTAGGTTTTTTGAATGCTATTTATTACATTCATTCAGATGCGCCCTAGGTGAGCTAATGGCATTCTTTAAAATATAAATATATATGGCTGAGCAGACAGCCTAATAGTTAAGAGACTTGTTCTACTCATGCAGAGGATCTGGGTTTGGGTCCTCATATACGCATGGTGATTGACAGCCATCTGTAACTCAGTGGGCATCAGGCACTTGTGTGCTACACTTTACATACATGCAGGCAAAGAACTCAGACATATAAAGTAAGTCTAAAGAAACATTTAAAGTGTGTATATGTAAGCAGTTTATTTCTTGTCTAAGCCAATATTAAAATCAGATGAGCTGTGACCGAAACAGGAAGTGGTAGAAGAATTCAATGGCAGTCAGTCCATAGCTGCCTTTTTTTTTTCCCCTGCTGTCAGCAGTGAAGTATGTATAATATATATTTTCCCCCTCAATATCATTTCTCCAGAGACCAAAGGTGTTATTTCTTTTTCCTTTTTATGGCTTGTTAGACCTTGGAAGTTCATATTTATTTTTATCATGGTTATGTAAAAACACATAAAATCTGCTAAATGATGGTATGAAGTAATGGTGGGCATGGTGCTTTGTATTTTGCCTTGTAGGTTATTACTCCTGGAGAAATTCAAAGGACGGGTCCTGGTTCATCCAGTCACTTTGTGCCATGCTGAAACTGTATGCACACAAGCTTGAGTTTATGCACATTCTTACTCGAGTTAACCGGAAGGTGGCGATAGAATTTGAGTCCTTCTCCCTTGACTCCACTTTTCATGCAAAGAAACAGATTCCGTGTATTGTGTCCATGCTAACAAAAGAACTGTACTTTTATCAGTAAGGAAATGATTGGAGGCTTTGTTTCTATTTGTTCTTTGTTTTGAATGCCAATGAGGAAACAGTGTCAGGGAGACTTTATTTCTCTCTCATTTAAATCAAATCTGATGTTTCAGATGAACCATACCACTGCCCTAGCAATGCAACCGCAGTACAGCTACCTCAAGTGCAACATCAGGTAGTTGAAACAATTTAATTGGAACAAATGTCAATGATGGTACTATCATTATAGAGGAAATTACAAATTTACTTTTTATAATTAGCAAGATTTGGTGGTACTATAAATTTTTAAGTTAATTCTGAAGAAGTTAAACTTTCAGGTGTAATTTTATACTCCCTACACACATTAAAAATGCCATTCTAGGTTTTGTTAAATTACAGCAATGATGGTGTCAAATGATAATGTCTTAGAACTTGAATCCATGGGCAGAGTCAAAAGCTTGGACCTTTATTTTGGAAGTGATATATGGAAATGAAGCATTGGACCACCAGTAGCATTCATTGTTTTGTGATGTTTGTCCTAAGCATGTATTTGTTATTAAAAAAATCATGTTTCATTATTGAAAAAAAAACTTGAGTATTTATGTAAGAGGAAAACATGAGTGAAATTGGTTGACTTTTTGAAGGCTACCATACATAAGTAGTGGATATGATGGCAAGGTGCTAAATCTACCAGCATTTGTTTCTTACTTGTTCTTATACAAATCAGCTTAGTTTTACAGACCAGCAAAATATCTATAGGACGGTTACGTAACAGCCTCAAATTGTTGATTATTAGAATGAAATAAATTCTGCAGGAACATACTAAAATACCAGCTGTAAAACAGAATGTAAGGACGGGAGAAATGAATCTACTGTAATTGGAGAGGGGTGGTTTGAGCCACAGTAGATACATGGCAGAGCCATGGGCACAGCTTCAGAAAGGACTGTCACCTGGACCCACCTCATGAGTACTCGTTCGTGTGGATGATGTCCCTAAGGTCCAAGTCACCACATGAGAAAGTCAGCCAGATTGGAAACTTCTTAGAAAGGGCGTTCCCAAAGTGGTAAGTCTCTCCAGAAAGATCCCGGAACTCCATGTCCAGAATCTGTAAGCATGCTGACTTTTCTGTTGAAGTTTACAATAAAAGGAAGCCAATGATGATATTTGTATTGTCACCAGAGATTAAAGGACCATGGCACACAGGACTTGGGGAACATCCAGTCACAGGCCCTGCAGCCCGCATGGGAAGCTGCAGGATGGAGTCCAGCCCCATTAGAGAGGTGGTGCTCCAGGCTTCCTCACTGGTGGAGGTGCTGAGCCAACGCTGGCCATCCTGATGTGTCTAGCATTTCATGGAAGCTTCCTTTTTGCTCAAAGAAAGGAAGGAACTCACATGTATAACTGGTAGATTCTTGTTTTAGACTGGATCTATTAACTCTAAGTAAATGTAGCATGTGATGGTATTTTAAAGTGTGTTCCCATGTGTCAATTTTATAAGAGTTTGTTGCATTTTTATTTCAAAACATAAATTCAGATTTAAAATTATCAGCGTATTTGAGTTTTGTGTTTTGTGGTTTGTTTTTTTTTTTTTCTTTTTGTCATTGATACTTTTGGTGTTGTGATAGCTAAGTGACAGTTAAAATAGTTTTAGCCCAGAGCTTAATTTAGGAGAGCCAAAGAGGATGCAGCAGGGCCCTCACCTAATATTTTGAGGCATTGGCAAGTGACAAGACCTCTGGGGGAATGGATATGATTTAAACCCTGAAAAGAATGTAGGAAGGGGGCGAGGGGGGGGGTCATCTCTTCAGATGTTTACATAATCATAGCTGCTATACAATCAAGAACAAAACCGGATCAAGGAATTCCTATTACCAAGGAGTAGAGTGGCATGAATGTTTTTATTCAGCCTCTTTTAACCTGTGGCAGGGGGCTGGAGAGATGGCTCAGTGGTTAAGAGCACTGGCTGTTCTAAATAAATCTTTTATAAAAAAAAAAAATCTGTAGCTCTCTATAATGTTCTAAGAAAAAGCTAGTTTTGTTTGTTTGTTTGTTTTGTTTTTTAATTTCCCTGCCATATAAAGAGGTCTTAGATATTACAAAGAAAGAGTGGGGTTATGGGGTTGGGGGTAGCTAATTGGGTAAAGTGATTCTCTTGCAAGCACAAGAACCTGAGTTTGATCCCCAGAGTCAATGCTGAAAAACAAGTATGTTGGGGCTGGAGAGATGGCTCAGCGGTAAGAGCTCTGGCTGCTCTTTAGAGGACCTGGGTTCAATTCCCAGCACCCACATGTCAGCTCATCACTGTCTGTAACTCCAGTTTCAGGGGATCTGGTACCTTCACACAGATACATATGCAGCCAAATAATGCCAATGCACATAAAATAAATAAATCTTTAAAAAGTTTAAGAAAACTAAATGTGGTGATGCACACTTGTAATTCTAGTGGTGGTGGAGATAAATGAGTTCCAGAGGCACACTGGCCAGTCAGGCTACCCTACTTAGCATGCTCCAGGCCAATGTGCTGAGCTATTGAGAAATGATGCCCAAGGTTAACCACTGGCCCACACATACACAAGATAAAACTGTCCACTGAGTAGCAAGTGCATGAATCCGCCAAGAACAAGAAAGAACACATATCCCCTAACTAATTCTCCCATCATAGAAGGAGGGATGTAAAGTAAAGTATCCTCTACCAGACTGGCAGATATGGCCCACATGCTGGAGCTATAGGCACGCATCATGTTTAGCATATGTTGTGGGTTTTTAAGATGTTGCATGAATATTTATGAGATGGTATATTCATAGGGTAAGGTGACTGTTTTTCCTTTCCCAAACCATGGTGAACCAGATCTCTTTTCTTGGATGATTCTTCCCATGATCTTCTTTAAAAGGAGAGGCAAGCTGGCAAAGAAAATGGCAAGGAAATTGGGTTTCTTGAGGATGCAGAATCATATGGATGTGTGGCGGTTGGTTTAGGTTTTTCCTGGTACTTAGTTTCTGCTATGTTGGGGAGAAGCCAACCACAGCATAAACCACCAAAGAGCATTTTGTCTGAACACCAGGAGACACAGCTACCAAGAAACAGCCATAATGCTCCATGGGTACCTCATATGTAAATCCACCTACCAATCCTTGGTAGGAGTTTTGAAACAGTAGGACTCAAATATGAAGACTGTGGTCAGAAATGGTTTGTCTGAGTCAGAGGAGAAGCAGATTTTACTGTGAAATAACATGAAAAAGTTGACTTTGGGAAAAAAGGCACACATCAAAGAAGTAGGCAGGCAAGTGTGGTATCTTCTTTGTGTTCAATTTGAGACACCCACCACTTCCTTCTCAGGGTCGATAATTTGTCAGAATGGCTCACAGAACTTAGGAACATACTTCAGTTATATTCCTCAGCTTGTTAGCTAGTATAGTTAAAGAATGTGGAAACAGGCCAAGGTATGGTGGGGAAGGGCACAGATTGCCCTTGTTTTCTTGGATGGGGCACTTTCTTAGAGCCATACATGAAATGGCTATTGCATTAGAACTTTCCACTGATGACTCCTCTGGGTAAGCCAAAGGGGATGTTGTTAGATGAATACAGTGGATCCGATTCAGCTTCTAAAGCCTTTGATGTTTCAGGTGTGACCATCAATTCAAGCTTCTCAAGAACAGGATGTTGTCTTCCCAACGCACCTTGTGACTGGCCTGAAAGAATCACAGAAGCTCATAACAATATTGCAAATTTGCATATTGTCCTGTAGAGAATAATTCTAACCTCAAGAGTCTAAGAGTAATGCAAGTAAACAGATGATATCAAGAGTTAATGGGAACAGTCTAAGAACAGGGAATGAAGCAGAATGATAGACACACACAATGCCCTCATTCTGTAACTATGCCAATACTGTCGGAGCCAAAACCGAGAGTAGGGGACATGAGAATATGAATGAGGTAAGCAGTGCCAACTACTAAGAGTAAGCTTTTAAATTATGTAGTTTACAGGATGATAGGAGAAAACCTGGTATATCCCCATAGGAGATAGAGTAGCATAGAATGAAGAATGAACTGAGTCAGCCTTAACTGATAAATTGATTGTGAGAGTTTAGCTTTCACTAGAGACAAACATTAACCTTTAGAGACAAAACTCTCTTTCACTTTGCGTGATGTTGTAACCACAAATGCTGCCAACTGGGCACACTGCTCTATCTGTGGCTGTGCCTCGTTAGAAAACTTCCTTTGTTGCTTGCAATACTGCTTATGCTCTTAACATTAGAGCTATGAATCAAGAAGGTAGTGGTTACTGGCAAGAAAATTGGGGGAGGTCATGGGGGAGTTCATGGCCGCTTAGGTGTGTGCTTATGAGTCCTCATACCTGTGCACGAGAACAGGGAGGGGGATGCCAACAACTACTTAGCTTTCCCCTTCCCCCTCTTTTATTCAATCTGGGCCCCTCAGTTTACAGGTTGAGGCCACTCATGTCCCAAGTGGGTCTTTTCCTCAATGCTTTCTGGAAGCACCTCACCAACACATACAAAGGCATTTCACCTAGGTGATTCTAAATCCAGCCAAGCTGACAATAAAGATTAACCATCCCCTGATGCAAATCCAAAGGGAAGGAATGAGAACAAGATTTGCAGGTGGTTTGTATTTACAGTTTCTCGTCTATGGGATGAGTTCACCAACTGCTGGTGTGAGAGGTGAGTACAGTTTATGCACCAAAACCATGCTGTATCCCTTCCCTGTCTTGCCATGCCTTCCTCGTTTCCTACTTTCTCCTCAGCTCCATGGCCCTCATCTCCTGCCATAAGCTTGAGACCATGGAATGAGAAATGATTTCAATTTTCCTGATGTGTATATATGACATTGATCCAACCCAGCCTGCTATAAAAATTAAATGATTTAAATAGTTAAAAGTTTTTCATATACAAGACGTACTCCATCTTTCCAATTTTATTTTCTGCCACTTTATCAATATTGAACCAACTTTGGTATGTATCTGAAAAAATTGTTTTCCAATATTGTTTCTTCATATATAAGAAATTTAATATGAAGCTAGGAGTTGTGGGGCACACTTGCAAGACCAAGGTCATCTTGGGCTATACAGAGAGAGACCTTCAAAAAAAAAAAAAAACAAAAAAGAAAGAAAGAAGAGAGAAAAGAGGAAATAATTTAATAGGAACTCTCAGGGAACATCTCTGATATTCACTCCATTCAAATACCCTGTGTTTCATTTGAATGTCTAGCACGATGCAAAATTGTAACCTGCCTTATCCATGTCCTCTTCCCATCCCAGCTGGTCCCTGGTCCCTTCTCCCCTCATCAATCACAGAGCGGAATAGAAAAGTTGAAATAGTTTATCCAAAACAGCATTTGGGTTTACCCAATGAGAAAGACAGACTAAACCTGTTGCCATTCTCAGGTCCACCCACCTACCTCTCAAAATCTAATGATTGGGAGACGAGACTTGGTGCAAAGGAATCTGTTTTCTTCAAGGGCTGGGACCCTGGAGGGTGGAGCAAGCTATCATGACCAAAGTTCTGTCTTGAGAAACTTGAGGGCACAATAGCCTGTACCTTTACAGTAAGGAGCAAAGCTGAGTCGCTTGTGTGTGTGTCTCTCATTTCTTTCTTCTCCCACTAGAACACAACAATGGACTGCAACCTGGTAGAACTAATAATTTCTGTTTTGTATTACATGACATACAAAACTAAACCCTAAGAAGGGGAATTTGCATATCCTCATGGTATCTTCAAGGTCAACAGATGTTCTGGGTTCTGGAAAACTAAGGAAAGAATATTTAGAATTGCATTTACCATCTTACTCATTTAGACATGGGTTTTGTTTTGAATTTAGAATTCTGGGCAATTGTTGGGCAGTGGTGGCACACCCTTTTAATCCCAGCACTAGGGAGGCAGAAGCAGGCAGATCTCTGAGTTTGAAGCCAGCCTGGTCTACAGAGTGAGTTCCAGGACTAGCTCCACAGCTACAGAGAAACCTTGTCTCAGGAAAGAAGAAGAAGAAGAAGAAGAAGAAGAAGAAGAAGAAGAAGAAGAAGAAGAAGAAGAAGAAGAGGAAGAGGAAGAGGAAGAGGAGGAGGAGGAGGAGGAGGAAGAAGAGGAAGAAGAAGAAGAGGAGGAGGAGGAGGAAGAAGAGGAAGAAGAAGAAGAAGAAGAGGAGGAGGAGGAGGAGGAGGAGGAAGAAGAAGAAGCAGAAGACATAACTTTGCAAAGGACAACTTTCAAAGGGGTGGCCACTGTTATAACCTCAAGGCCACGTGAATATATTCATATTCTTAGACTTCTTAAAATTTAAAGATGACTCATCATAGGTTCTCTTCATTAGCTTCTACAAACTCAACAGGGCACTGGTAAACGGTTATTGTGAACATTTATCTACCAGCCATCATCAGTCCCTCTCAACTTCATGCTTGAGCCTGGATATAACTCTCCATTCAAGTCACTAAATTCAGATCAGCAATGATGCTTCCCTGGAGAGAGGCATAACTTACAGTAAATAAATGCTAAGGAATTTCAAAATGCTGTCTGTCTGTCTATCCATATCTATCTATCTACCTATCCTCTATATCTATGTATCTACCTACCTATTATCTATATCTACATACCTATTTACCTATCATCTATATCTATCTATTAGTTTCTTTTCCTGTCAGATAGAACTAATCTGAAAAAAAGCAACTTAAAGGGGAAAGAGGTTTATCTCAGCCCACAGTACAAGGTTACAACCATCATGGCATGGCAGTCACAGTGGCTAGTCACACTGCATCCACAGTCAGAAGCAAAGAACCATGAATGCATTCTCAGCTCCCTCCTTTTCAGTCAGCTGAGGACCCAGCTCATGAAATGGTACCACTCACATTTGAGATGGGTCTTCCCATCTCAACTAGTCCAAGCAAGAAAATCCTCCACAATCATGCCCACACACCAAACCAATCCTGACACTGAGACTTCCCAGGTAAGTCTAGATCTTGCCAAGTTAACAATTGAAAACAAACATCACACTATCCGTCTGTCCGTCCATCCATCCATCCATCTATCCATCCATCCATCCATGTTTTCTAACTAAATTGTTTGTCTGATAAGTATTTTTCAGCATGTGAAACTAACAGATAAACCATTACTAAGAATTTTTTTTTTTTTTTTTTTTGCAAAACACACTCACAGTTCATTTTGACTCAGAAATGAAAAAGTCTTCAACTCTCCTCCCTCTCCTTGCATTTCATGTGGTTTGGGTAATACCAGGTTTGGAATCCCCCCAGCTGGCCAACACTTCTCTGATCTGAACTCTAGTTTCTGTATCTCTCAATTGGAGGCAATGATACCATCTAAAGACAAAATTCCATTTAAAGATGAATTTGGTTTTATGGGGGATCCATGAATTATGCCCTGTTATATCTGTGCTTGTCACCCTGAGCAGCTGAACAGAGGAGGTTGGCTTTGAAGGCTGGAAAGGACCAATGAAAGAAGAAATAGGGAACAAAATGGGAAATTGGTCATTTCAACTTACCTCTCCCTATGGGATTATCACAGAGGGGCTTTCTTTAGCATGTTGGCTCAAGTAAACCTGGCCCCCTTTGGGTGGCTGCTATATTTATATTTATGCTACTTTGAAAACTGGTCAGTTTCAAAGTTGAATTTGATGATGTGGTACTTAGCATGAATGACTTCACTCTGATTTCAGTCTTTATTGTTGTGCCTAATGCATGAGCTCTGTCCAAAATCAATAGCCTCCCATAAATTTAATGTAATGATATCTTCTTTCAAGTATTAAAGATAAGAGGTTTAAAAATAAATTAATGGAAAAATAGCCTGTAAAAGTACTATATAGCCATGCTAAGTCATTCTAAACATGCACTGAAATTTGCCACCATTGAAAATGTTAGGAGTAAGGAAAACTCATATCAACATATATTTTGCTCTCAACTATGTGCCAGCTTCTATGATAGGCGGTTTCAAACCATGTAATTCTTTTATCAATCTTCTAAGACAGCCCCAGTTTTAATCTGCTGACACGGGCACGGTGCATTATTAAATGTTCTGGTCAGTGTATGTGGTAGTTTGAAAGTAATTGGCCCCCATAAGCTCATAGGGAGTGGCACTATTAGGAGGCCTAGCCTTGTTGGAGGATTGTGTTCAGTTCACCTGTTGCCTGCAGTTCAAGATGTAGAGCTCTAAGCTTCTTCTCCAGCACCATGTCTGTCTGCTTGCTATCATGCTTCCCACCATTATGACAATGGACTAAACCTCTGAATTGTAAGCCAGCCCTAATTGTTTCCTTTCTAAGAGTTACTGTGGTCATGGTGTCTCTTTACAGCAATAGAAATCCTAACTAAGACAGTATATTAGCTACCTGTCTTGTTGCTGTGATCCAATACCTTACAATAAGCAATGCAAAGGAAGAAAGGTTTATTTTGACCCATGGTTCAGAGGAATAAGTTCATCTTGCTTGGAAAGGCATGGCAGCAGGAAAAGCATGGGGCTACCAGAGTAGCTTGATCCCTGCTACCAACTAAAAAGCAGTGAAAGTAGAATGCCAATGCTCAGTGCCCCCACCACCCCCCAAGGAATGACAGCAGGTTTATCTCAAACAGTGCTCACCATCCCTGAGAGATTTAAGTTTTCTATCCTATGTTTATTGAAGCCAGTTGTCTTCATTTTTGCCCATACCCACTGCTAACACCAAAGCCAAGG